TATGCTGGCAGGCAGGTTCTTCACCACTAGTACCACCTGGGAAGCCCCAATATTGCACTATTCCGCATGCTTCTGCTGGTCTCAAATGCCGACTCTTTCACCAAAAGTTATATGTATTCCAAAATTTTCAAGAAGGTCAGCCCATTGTTGTTTGATACTTAGTCTTGATTAGAGCCTGCATTTTATCAGCATACATGTCATATTCATTTTATTTCAGTATTGTGCCAACATGTTGTTCTGTGTTTCTCTAGGTCACGATAACTTGGGAGTGATGAAAGGGTCAAAAAATTCTGTAACAAAGTGGTATTTCAGTTGCCTCAGATATGGACTGGCCCAGCTTCAGAGTAGAGAATAACATAGGGGGATATCTGTTTTTCTTCTGGTCTCTCTCTGCATATTCTCAAGATAGCTAATATTACTCCAATCCTCATCCACACATGATTGAGTTCAAAGACAGGAAACAGGCAACAGCTTTCCAAAAAATGTACTGATAAATATCTCACTGGTCAGATTTAGGTCACAATCCTCTGCCTGAGAGCTAGGGATCTCTGTTTGCTCTCCAGTCAACACTGAAGTTTGATTAGAAAGTAAGGAGGAAGTACATGGCTTTGTTGTAGACATGAAATAGCGTCTGTTCTTACACCCCTTCACTGTAGTGCAGACACTAAAATTTGGATGGAATTGACTTTATTCCAGTGGTCTTTGATTAGTGAAAGCCAATGCCCCATTCATTTCTTTCCATGGAGGTTAGTTCAGTTATCCAGGCTTTGCCCAATTGGCACATGGCATTTCTCTGGCCACAGGAATGCTTTCAGGGCTGGTGTGATCCAAACTAAACTGACAGGTTTTGTTGGATCATCTAGAGTGCAGCAACTCTTTCTTTTCCTGGAAAATTCCTTAATGCGGAGGACTCCTTTGACCATTTTGTCTCAGTGAGAAAAACCAAATTTAGGATGAATTTGGCTCTACAGAAGGCCAAGCAGAAAGAAAAACATAAATTAGTTTTCACACTGACATTGTTGAGCTGCCAAATCAAACCATGAATTCTACCAGTTAAGAGAGCCAGTCAATCCCCTTTTGTATTAGTTTTTAAGAATAAGAACTTATGAAAAATGTGTATTTATATAAGAAATGTGCTTTAGCAAATCTGTTGTAAGGATTTTTTAAATCCAAACTTTTACTGAGATGGATAAAAACTTTAAAATTTTTGCAATTAATTATTAGATCTTTTTCACTACAAGTTAGCTAGTCCATGCCAAAAAAAACCTTTATCTTGAAGTTTTTCAAAAAGAGATGTTAGATACTCTAATTTTGTGTCAGTATATCTAAAAGATGTCCTTTTTACTGTATATGCAGTATGTTTGTGTTGGTTTTATATACAATTAAAACTTTGATTTTTTTTCTTTGAAATTTATAGATATGGTTTATGTGATGTGAGCATAGAAATGCTGAATATTTAACTTAAATTTGCTTCATCTGTATATGAATACAATGAAATTGGAATTTAGCCTCTATGTTGCAAGATTCCTAGTAGTCCATTCCCAGAAACTTTGAAGGAGATGAAGGAGTTCCTTTCACACCCTGAGTTGTCATCAGAGGCCTGCGGTTTGGTCTTTCTTCGCACCTTTGCCGCCAGTGCTATGGGCTCCTTTTGCCCTCCACTTGCTTAGAGTTTTACCGACCTTGTTCTGCTCGGTTAGGCCCAGTGGCCCAAGACCACTTGGTTCCCATGCAGGGGTTTCTTAATTTGGATTATACCACATTTATGTAAAGGAGTTGTGGAATGATTATCCATTAATAAATATACTTGTTGTGTTAGTTGCTCAGCTGTGTCCAGCTCTTTGTGACCCCGTGGACAGTAACCCACCCGGCTCCTCTGTCCATGGAATTCTCCAGGCAAGAATACTGGAGTGGGTTGCCATGCCCTCCTGGAGGGGGTATTCCCAGCCCAGGGATTGAACCCAGGTCTCCCGCATTGCAGGCAGATTCTTTACCATCTAAGCCACCAGGAAAGCCCACAAAATATAACTGAGCTGTTCCCAGATACGTGTGCTCTTATTAGGTTGACCTGTGAAACCTGATTCCTTGTGCCACAGATACGAGCAGAAACTCATTTTTGAGGTTAGTTTATTTGAGCTTAAAATACAGCTTATAAAATTTATGCATGGATACATTTATCTCTTGGATGGAACAATATGAGAAAATTCTAGTTGGCTTGCTTTCCTAAGGAGCTTTCAGAATTCAGTGCAGATGGTACCTGGGTTAGCAACATGGTAACCTCTGATCTTCTAGCTCTGGCCTTTCAGAGGCTGATGATGCATTTAAGATGCCATTGGGAGTTTCCGCAGTCTTATGGATAGCTTCTCAACACTTTAAGAAACCAAAGCATAAGACTTAGACGTTTTTGTAATATGGACTTTTCATTAATTATTTTTGTATTAATTCATGTACTATCATTAGGGATGTTTATTTCCCCTTTATGTAATTTTTGTCTCTAAGTAACCATGAGAAAAGAAAACTAGTTTTCACCCCTTTTATCTATCTCATTGCTTTTAAGTGTATTTTACCTACATAAGAGAAATTGCATTTTAAGTATTTACATATGAATGTATTTGAGTTAGTGTTCTTTTTAATATTTTCTTAAAATGTGATGGGCAGATGTATGTGAAGACTCCATTTAATGAACTGATACCACCCTGCTGAGTCTTAAGCATCAGTGCATGCCTGTGCTAGGCCAGGTTTCATTTCCAGTTTATTTCAATTAAGTGTCTGTAATGTAATTACATGGCACAGGAAGGATCTGTTGATGTTGTGAATTTGATTTTTAATAAGATTACTCTAAACTATCATGTGCCTTTATAACTTTGAAAATTCCTCTTATGTAATTATCTATCAACTGTTAGGAAGAGTCTCATTTATACAATTATTGGCAAGATTTCCTTTAAGGTGGGTTACAGTAAGAAAGGTACCTAGACTCACTTTTTGGTTTATTAACTGCAGAATCTTTTTTAATACACCTGGCATTTCTTAGCCAGAGATAATTCCAAAATATCATACATAGAATTTTCAATAAGAGCAAAAATTCATTAATTACATTATAAATTTGCCTTTTCTTAACTTTTATCCTACTACTTCTCTATTCTTCACATACATTTTCTTCTTCTTTTCTTAAATTTCCAGAATTTTTATTGGGGAATGAAGCAGTTCTTAATATTCATGTTGCTAATGATTACTTGGGTTTTTGGTTTTGAGACATCATTTCCCTGCAAATCTCCATGTCCAGAGTTTACTGAGTTTCATTCTTCAATTGATACTTATTTGGTTAATATTCTTACTAACAGTGAGAAGGAAATTGTAAATTTAGTGGCATGTGTTGTTGAAGAGAAACATCCACAATAATAATTTTGTATGACTTACAATATTAACTATTATCTTAAATATTGACGAGTACATATACACTTCCTTTATTTTATTCATTATTAGTGATTCATATGTTTTTCCCCAGAAGATTTGAAAATTAGAAGCATGTTTGCAAAAATTGCTAATTAAGGTCAAGCTTAATAAACACTGAATTGAGCATATTCATATAACCTAAATATGATAAGTTGATAAGCATGAGTTTGATTTCATTTTACTATAAACTTATGCTGAAACACAAATGGAGTTATTTTTAATGTAGGAATTTCCATTTTTTCTTTTTTGGCTGTATCAGAAGGCTGGAAAGAATTGGTTTTATTTTTATATATTTTTGGTAGAAAAATTACCAGTTTAAAATTTTCTTCCAGATTTTCTATTTTAAAATCTAATCCTCTGAATATAAACAGTATTCAAAGGCAAAAAGGTGGGATCTAGATAGCTATATATGTTAATAACAGATACAGTATTAATGATAAACCAAATTATGACAAAGACTGTATATATTTATTCAGTAATTAAGTTATTCTCACATACTTAAAATAATTTAAATGTATAATGAAATCTTATTAAATATAGAATTTCATGACTACTGATAGCATATTCAAAGTAGAACTTTCTTCCCTCTGTATTAAAATATTAGGAACCTAAAATAGGAAATGTAATTGTAACACTTTTTAATTTAATTTCTTCATTAAGTTTTTCCAACACTGATGTGTAGATAATAGACTTAAATCCTCTCTGTTAAATAAGAATATTTGACGCATATTTGTCACTGTGATGTCTTTCATCCTGAAAATTGAAGTTGACCTCACAGTACTGCCCCCCAAGAAAATCCTTGACTGCAATCTCTGACATTAAACCTCTCTGCAATCTTTATCTTAGACATTTGAGACTCAAGCTGCCACATTATGTGAACTATGGTCAGTAACATACCAACTAGTTTTACTCACCAGGGAACAAGCTGAGATTGAGTAAGTAGCCTGCTATAGTTCTGAAATTAACAGTTATCTTGACAAGAATTGTTTGTCTTTTTCTCTTATTTTAATTGATGGACACTTATTGGATCTCTAGAGAACTGTAAGTGACTTAGGCTAGTTGGTTCAAAATAGTGGATTGAGCCACTAAATTTTAACCCTTAAGTTTTTTCTCTCCCTGTCTCCTAAAAATTGAACAGTTAAGAGTGTCTAGTTATTTTTTTGTCTTATTATATAGTTTTTCATGTGTATCACCATATTTATTTTGTTCTTATGTGAACCAGTGACCTAATATTTACTTAAATTTATTTGTTAAGCACACATAAAAGAATGATTTAATAGCTTAATTCATAATAGGCTGGGATAGGTAGGAAGAATTTCTCCTGGTATATTGATTTACCTTTGTAAATCTCAACCCTGTAACTACATTTTGAAATGACACTTACCAATTCTGGCACTTTTGTAATAGCAATGACAAATATTTTATTTGGAAGAGAAAATGCCATTTTTGAAATGTTATTTTTTATTAGTACTTTTACATGTGTCAAGATGTGCTAGTTATTTGTTGACCTGGTGGCTGTGAACTCATAATTTCATCTTCTTTTCTAGAAGAGAGAAGACCCCCGTCAGCCGAGGGTGACTCTGGTGAAGGGGTCAGCAGTGAGATGTTAGCAGCCAACACTTATAGTGGCTGATGGATGGACGCAACCGCCTGGTGAAGGGAATCTGTGTGGAGCATCAGAGTCTGCTGCAGTTGGAAAGTGATACAATAAATATTTCTAAAGTGATGAAATGTCATACAAGGTAGGTCTCAAAAATATTCTAAACGAAAAGCATTAGGAGCCATTCCTCAAAATTTTATTAGTTTTAAGATAAATTTAAAAGTGCTATTCCATACAAAGAATAATTTTTATAAATCATAAAGACTTCAGTATATCACAGTCAATTAATATAAGAGTGAAATGTAGATAAATATTTGAATGAAAAAAATTATAAACATTTCTATGGGAGGGCATAATAATACCACCTTTTACAATTTTCTTTTGCAAGGATGACTTTCACTTGAAGTGTTTGTTGGCAATAAGATTAACTATGACATACTGTATGTGTTATATTGATACATTCAGTTATATATTTAATACATATTTATTGAAAACCAACTATGGATACAATGCAAAGGAAGTTTTGCAGAAGAGAGCATTTGTGATCATGTAGTCATACAACAGTATAAACTTATAAACTTTGGGTTGAATGCTACAAAGAAAAATTTACTGATGTACAAGAGTATATTTCAGGTATGAGAGAGTGAGTCTTGGAGTGTAGGGAAGGTTTCCCTGAGGAAATGATGTTTGAGCTGAGGTCTGTATGGTGGAAAGTGTCAAAGAAGATAGTGGAGACTCTTTGAAGCCAAGTGGACACGATGTTAAGATGGAAGGGAAAATGGTGCTTTCAAGGAACTGAACAAAGTCCAAAGTAGTAAAAGGTTTGTGAATATAGGGCAAAGGGTTTGAAATGATCATTTAGAAATAAGCATAGGCTAGTTTATAAAGAATCTTGTAGAGCATAGTAAAATTTGGATTTGGATCTTCATTCTAAAAGCAATGAGACATCATTGATTAGCTTTAAACAGAAAAATAACATTACCACAATGAATTTTTATTTTTAAATATCTCTCTGGTCTATAAAGTGGGACAGGAGTGGATAGGTGCAGGACAGTGAGTTGTCTGGGGAGAGATTGTGAGTTTAGATAAATGAGTAAATGGTTGGGATAAGGTGGTGGCTTCCCTGTGGGGGTTATAAGCAAGAGCAGAGAAGAATCTTCCATTTCTGCTTTTCCTGCTGGACTGATGCTCTTGGATAGGAGAGTTTCCTCCTCTCAGTGGGCTGATTTTACTCTCATTCTGCCCTCTTGACAGCAGTCATGGCTGAGAGTCAGCAGAGGGGCCACAAAAGTGCAGGGCTACTTTCAGCATTCTAGAAAAGAGGTGTGGGAAGGTTCTAACTTTTTGTAACTCTTGTGCTTGTTCTATTTCTACTTGTAATTCTGATTCTGCGGTTCTCATAAATATACTTCCGAAAGTTATGTTGAATTAACTTTTCAAATTACCTTAGTGATTCTGGTTGGAGCATCAATATATTCTCAAAAAATTTTTGTCTAATTCCCCCTTTTTTCGATATCAGGCAATCCCAATGTGGAATGCCTAGCATGAAGCTGGGCTTCCCTGGTGGCTCAGAGTTAGTAAAGTGTCCTCTTGCAATGCAGGAGACCCGGGTTTGATCCTGGGTCAGAAAGATCTGCTGGAGAAGGAAATGGCAACCCACTCCATTACTCTTGCCTGGAAAATTCCATGGATGGAGGAGCCTGGTAAGCTACAGTCCTCAGTCATCCATTGGTTACCTTGGTTACCCATTCTTCACTGCTTGTAGGTAGGGACAATGTGGAAATCCATGGAAGTGGAGCTGTCAGCAGTTCAAGCATGTACCTCAAGGAAGGTGCTGCGTCGCTCGGGTTCCTCCCTGATAGTCACTAAAGGAAAGAAGATTTGGTGAGAACCATTGGACGCGTGGCATAGTCCCCTTTGGCATAGTTGAGTTTTTGGTGGAGATTTCCAGTGGAGACCTCAACGAGACTTCTCTCAATGGAGCTCTTTGGTTCAGCGTCATGATTTGTTCCAATAATGTAAACTTGAAAATTACTAGCACAGAGGGGCACATTGGGTGGCTTCCCAGGTGGTGCTAGTGGTGAAGCACCTACCTCTCCCGCCAGTGCGGGAGACATAAGAGACATGGGCTCATTCCCTGGGTTGGGAAGATCCCCTGGAGAAAGGAATGGCAACCCACTCCAGTATTCTTGCCTGGAGAATCCCATGGACAGAGGAGCCTGGTGAGCCACAGTCCATAGGGTTACAGAGTCAGACATTATTGAAGCTACTTAGCACTCACACACATACACAGCCCCTTGGGTGACCATATAATTTATTGTCTAAGCCAGAACAACTTTGAAAGTAAAAGAGGTGTTATGGACCATCATGCTGAAACAATAAGCGATTGAGAATGCCCTAAAAACATCACAAAATGCAGTCATGAGCAAAGAAAGAAACCTTGAATTTGCTTTAAATTGTCAGCAATTCCTCACGTAGATTTCATCAGTGGAGATTGGTGTTGTTTGTAATTTACATTGCTTTGTATAAGTCACTGTTATTCACAACTCATTTAAGTAGGAAAAACCAACAACATTAACTTGAAATTTAAAAGTCCACCTTTTTTTGGTCAGGGAAAAAGAAATGTCATAGGATTATTATTTAGATAGTTGTCTTTAGCGTTTATAATTTTAGAAGGTTCTGTTTAATTAGAACCATAGAATGTGAAATTATGTTCAGAGGGGTATGTCATTCTTTGTGGCTGCTCTGAACCTTTTGACCATCCTTGTTCTCCTGGCTTTTGACATATGCATTCCTAGACTCCTTCTCAACTAAATGATAGTTTAGGCTGAAGTAGAAATCTGATGGAATCTTCTGGGAAGCCTATTGTTTTCAATGGTAAAAATTACCCTTCTCCAGTTTTAAATGTAGAAATGATGTCCAAGCTGTAGTGTCAGTCTTGTGTTCATGAAGAAAAGACAAAAAATCGATATCCTGGACTTGAATTATTGAGCTAGTTAAACAGTGTTCAGTGTTAGCAGCAGCAGCTGTGTTTTTTTTTTTTTGTTTTTTTTGAGAAAAATTAGCTTCTCTTATGTAACACAGTATTGATCAGTTTCACTTCCCTGGTGGCTCAGATGTTAAAGAATCTGCCCACCATGCGGGAATCCCAGGTTTGACCCCTGGGTCAGGAAGACCCCCTGGAGAAGGGAATGACTACCCATTCCAGTATTCTTGCCTGGAGAATTGCATGGACAGAGGAGCCTGGTGGGCTACAGTCCATGGGGTTGCAAAGAGTTGGACACGGCTGAGCTTCACACTTTCACTACATCTTTGCATGAGAAGCACTCCACAACGGCCAGAAGCTGATTATTAAGCAACTATCCAACAACTTCCTTCCAGAAAAGTTGTTCAGTGTGATCATTATCATGAATTTTATGTTTGTGTGCTAACTGGCTTCAGTTGGGTCTAACTCTTTGCAACCCTGTGGCAAAGCCCACTGGCTTCTCTGTCCATGAGATTCTCCAGGAAAGAATACTGGAGTGGGTTGCCATGCCTTCCTCCAGGGAATCTTTTTGACCCAGGGATCGAGCCTGACTCTCTTACGTCTCCTGCATTGGCAGGTGGGTTCTTTACTGGTAGAGTCACCTGAAATGCCCAATTTTATGTTTATATCTAGTAAAACTTTACCAGTAAGTGATAACATGGGTCCAAAACATTCATTAGGTAAAATGGATGAGAGATTATGTTTATGCAGAAGTAGTGACGTGACTGGAGCAAATTTGTCTACTATCGGTCGGGGTTCCCTGGGTGCTTCTGAATGGCTCAGCCCTGTCCTGGTCTTGCTTGGCTTGTTTTTCTGCTCCAGGATAAAGTTAGTGAAGGCTGTTAAGAGTTGTGCCAGAGTGATTCACAAAAGGAAACATGATGTGTGTTTTTCTGTCCCAGTCCAGCTAGGGTAGAGAGGATATTGTAGATGTAGGAATCTGCTTTCTACCTGCTTACTTCCTAGGAGCAGGCTGCCAACTCTTCTTGCCAGGCCTGAGCCTCACTTTGTCCTATACAGATCCCTCCCCTTTCTTTGAAAATTTGCCCTTCAACTCTTTGGGAACTATGCTTGATGAAAGATAAGAACCAAGATCCAATTCAGTTAGATCTAAAATCACCTTTCCATGGAATTTTGTTGGGGGCCTCATTGTACTGTGTAGCTATACTTCAAAAACCGGTCTACCTTGCAGAAATAGCTACTCATTAAAAGTCTATTCTTATCTGAAAGGCAGAAGATTGAAAGATAAAAGGTGTGGCACTCACCTGACTTCTCTTTGACTCATATCAGAAATACTGAAGTTTCTAGGAGGCTGGTAGTTTTACAATAAAGAATATGCCTGGCTATGAGCCTTTCAGTGCAGTGTCTTAGCCCTAACTGCTTTAAGTTTTTTTCCTTAACAAAAATTCAGCAAGATTTTTGTTTAATATCCTGCCAGCATGTTTTCTGGAGAAGGGAATGGCACCCCACTCCAGCACTCTTGCCTGGAAAATCCCATGGATGGAGGAGCCTGGTAGGCTACAGTCCATGGGGTCACAAAGAGTCAGACACAACTGAGTGACTTCACTCACTTCATACTTTATCACTGGAGAAGGAAATGGCAACCCAATCCAGTATTCTTGCATGGAGAATCCCATGGACAGAGGAGCCTTGCTGGCCGTGGTCCATGGGGTCAACAGAGAGTCGGACACGGCTGAAGTGAGTAAGCATGCATGCACCATGTTTTCTAATTGGGTTCTATAATCATATGCCTATGTAAATGTGAAAAAGATAAATATTATTCTTAAAAAAAAAACAACTATAAGACTTTGTACAACTAATATTCCTGAACCTTTACTGTTAGTAGCATAGCGAATGTCTTATATTCATTTGATCCAGACTCTTTTGCTGGAGGTGCCTGGGGACTGATGTCTCATAAAACACATGGGGTTTTGTCAAATTCACCTGCTAAATTTGAAGGTGTACCTTTTTCTGGATATGGAATTCTACTGTTTGCATAGTGAGATATCTCTTTTTTTGTGCCCCCTTTCTATGTTTAGGTGTTTAATTTTCCAACATATTTGTATCAGAG